GCACATGGTGAAGTCCAACCATCTAACACTAAACAATTAAAATATATTTAATAAAACTTATATATATACGTACATATATACACAGATATGTAGTTAAATTGATTCGATCCCAATTAATCTAACCAGAATTAGAACGGGCTTCAATCATATAAATTTTATATGATCAATTGATACATACTCAAGGTTAGATTATCACAATATTTAAGTTCTTCATTAACCAAATTAGTTACTTGTGCTAATTCGGTATCTAGAAGCTGTCCAGAAAGAGTAAATCTTGAGGGTGGATTGTATTTTAACTTTTTAAATAAATCTTGCATGAAAAAGTTCTCAATCACTTCAAATGGAATTCCAGATGCAACCCATGCTTTTAATAATGATTGGTCAATTTGACATTGTATTTCTTGAGGAAAAAAATTATCATCTTGTGATTTATTTAAACAACTCTTATTAGAGTTGTTAGAGTTAGATTTTTCAACTTATTTTTGATGCCAATAACTACTAATATCTTCAGGACATTTTGAACAATAATTGGCTAAATGAGCCTTCATAGTTTGCGGTTTTCCACACTCCCAGGAAATCAAACAATAAAAACAAGTTGCCTTATAATGTCCATTGCCTTTATTAGGTCCTTGTTGGTAAAATGACCAAATTTCATCGAATTAGGGCTACCAGTTTTTTGTTTTTTATTTAAACGTGCTGGATTAGAGGTAGCAATATCAGTTGAACTAGAAGTTATAGTATCAATTGAATTTTCACTTTCTTGACTCATTTTTGAAAAATATCAAAAAAAAATGAAAACCATAAAATCTTTATTATAATACTGTATGATAATAATGTAATGACAATAACCATAATAAAATATATAATTACATATATACATAGTGCTTAAGTATAATTATATTTACATAAAATTTTTGTTAAAAATTCGAATATGCAATTTATAACATAATTGTAATCTTCTCAAGCATTATTTTGACGTGATTAGTGAGTGATTGTACTAGTGCTCATTTATTACAATCAATCAAAACAAACATTGCAGTCAATACTTGAACGG